CCTCGCCCCCAGCCCCGCTCTATTCCCAAGGCCTTTCCCTCCTTCCCACCTTCTTTCTGCACCTCAGCCCTGTGCCAGGGTAGGGGAAACGCTTCACCCCATTTCTTAGTGCAGTTTTTTACGAGCAGAACCCGTTGTCTCCCCAGCCCTCCAAACCTGCGGGAGGGGTCTCAGGAGCTTCAGGAGGCCGGGGCGTGCCTTGTGTCTGAGCCAGGAATTGGGGTATTTCAGGTATTTCTCCGATCAGGTATGGTTGATATAGTGCCAGGAGCGGTACCGGTTAGGGTTTGGTGAGTAACATCAAACCTTACTGAACTTTTACATTTTATTTAGGAGGCTCGTCGTCCTCGCGCCCTCGAGTTTTGCTCTAGGTGGAAATGAAGTGAGGTTTTACTGGCCGTAAGGTCGTCGGGCATGGATCCCTTCGCTGACGAGAGCTCCCTTCATTTGGAGCTGCATCTCCCTGGCTTTTCCGAAAGCCAGGGGTTGGTCTGCAGCGAGGTTCTCGACCACGATTTATACCTGAACGCGAAAGACGGGATGTACGCCGGGCTGAGCGGCTTGGACGTGGCGGATGTGGCCAGCCGTGCTCTGCAGGCCGATTTAAACGCGCTCTCTCTCTCCCCGGCGAGGGATTGCGGCTCTGTTCGGCTCCTCGATGGGTCTGACTTGTGGCACGGTGAGCGCGTTGGACTCGTTTTGAAGGGTGTTTTATGCATCGAAGCAGCCAGAGTTATTGTGTGGGTTTGTATAGGTGGCGGAGTCCATTACGTGAAAGATCTTTGGGGTAAAGAGGTGGATGCACGGTTACGTTTTGTTTTTTTAAAGTCAGGTTTTGCTTCTTGTAGTTGCATTTTGCAAATGTTTCTCCTGTAAAATGAGATTCAAATTGATCAGGGTGTAAAAGATAAAAATTACAGTGCCCCCCTCTCACAGGAATTTTGCTTCTGGCCTATTTTTATAAAATTACACCCTAGACAGAAATACAGCTTTTTTTCTTTTGTGTTTTTTTTTCTTTTCTTTAAAGAGTCCTTGCAACCTGCTCTCCAGCTGGCGCTGGAAAACGCAAGGGCATTAAACCGACAGATTTCCTAAATACGTTGCGAACGTCTGCATTACTGGCTTTCCCTGAAGCGGAGAAGAGACGTTCTGTTTAATTCTTCTTTTTGCCTTTCCGATTCTCTGTGAAATGGATTAAGCAGAGCGGGCTTTTTTCTAGGAGGAAAGGAGAACGCCTTAAGTGGGGAACCTCGGATTGTCTCCCAAAGTCCAATCCAGTGGGAAGTGGAAGCCAAATTGCTGTCGATAAAATTTGTTGGACAAACCGGGTTGGAGTCAGCTTGTTTCCTCCTTCTTTTCCCAAGAAAGAGGGGGGGGAAGAATGGTAAAACTCATTACAACGAGGTTCGAAATGGCAAAGGACATAACCCGTGGGACGTGGGTTTAGGGGTTTGTGGAAATAAAGCAGCTCTGGAGCTGCAAATCGTAAGAGGTGGAGCAAGTTTGCGGGACTTTGGTGCTCGTTTTTGTGCAGATATTTGGTCGTTGCGGGCCAGAGCCCTCCGACAGAAGCGTTATAGAAAGAGATGGGTTTATTAGTCCTAAAGCGTGTCGTTGCAGGATTAACCTCAGAATATCGCTTTCTCCCTCCCTTCAGAGCCGGGGCTGCCCGCGCCGACGGGACCGGAGGAGGCTGGAGGAGGAGGAGGCGGAGGAAGAGGCAGATCCTCGGGGGGAGGAAAGCGTCCCCTCGCCTCTCCTCGGACCTCGCCGCCGGCCTGCAGCCGCTGCGGGAAGGTGTTTGGCAGTGCCAGCGCCCTCAGCAAACACTGCCTGACTCACAGCCAGAGACGGGAACACGTCTGTACCATCTGCGGCAAGGCCTTTAAACGCCCGGACCACCTGTACGGGGGCCTTGCCTGTTCAGAACGCGTAGGGTTGCTTTTTGGGGGGGGCGGGAATCGTGCGGAAGGTGTTTGCAGCTGGTGATTTTTTTAATTTTTTTTTTTTTTTTTTTTTTTTTTGGTGGCCGCTTAGGAACTGTTGGAAAAGATTGCCTCTCGATGCGGCCGCTGCCCGGAATCCTACGCTTCCCGGCGCTGGAAAGCTTTTATTACTAATTCCGAAAAGCTCTCGAAGCGCCAAACCTCCGGCAGGTTATTGTAGGTCCGGTTTTTGGTGGCGGTAGTCCGGGGCTAAGTAAGCACCGTTTTGCTTTGTGTCAGACCGGACGCCAACAAAGTTTTTCTGTCCTAAAATGCGCCTTTGTGACGGGACAATCTGCAATTTTACAGTCAGTTTCCCCTTGGTTTGGGTTAATTTGCCTAATTTTTTTTTGTGTCTCTACCGATTTGTACTCTAAAACGAAAGAGAATTGTGCCGCTTGCTATCGCCGGGTGCTCTGCTAGGTAGAACTTGGGCTTGAGATCCCTTCGTGATTGGCTTCGCCCTTGCCGAGCACGGAGGGGAGGCTGGAAGGCTGGAGAGATCCTCCTGGATTTGGGGAGGATTCGAGATCCTCTGTGTTTCTGGAGAGCGAGCGGGAGGGTGCTTCAATGAACCTCTTCGAACAGAGGCCAAATTCTGCTTCGATTTACATCCCGTGCCACGTCTCTGCCTCAAGTAGAACTGTGCTAACTAACAGGAGCGCAAGAGCTGCGGTGGCTGAGGTGCAAAACGCCTTCCTTGGTCGGTCGGAAACGTTAATGCGCCGTGTTTTCTTCTCTTTGTCACCGCAGGAGCGGGCACATGTTGACGCATCAGAAAATAAAACCTTTTGCGTGCCCGGAGCGAGACTGCGGTAAGAGTTATTGCGATCACCGCTCGTTGCGCCGGCATTACGAACTGCAGCACGGCTTGTGCGGCTTGAAGGAGGCTCCTAAGGAAGGTGCCGGGGAGGAATCCGCGCTTCTTCCTGCTCCGTATAGCCAAGGCAACGGGAAATCGGTGGACGGACTGACTGTGCGCTCAGGACCAGGCTGTTTCCCACCCAAAAGAGACCCGCTGAGGTGCGTCGCGAGCAGCTTTGCAAATCGGAACCTTCCCTCGGCCGCGGAGCGCGCGGGTGCTGCCTCGACAGATTCCTCCCCGGCGAGCCGGTCCTCTTGCCTCGTGTCTGACAGCAGCGGGCTTCCAGGAGACGATAGGGCGAAGGATTGCCTCTCGCGCCAAGAGAGCGCTGCTTCTCCCAACCTCTGTGCCGTAATAAATCCCGGCAACGTGTCTCTGATCGCGCCGGGCGAGTACGCAGTCACTGATCCGACCAGTAGGTCTTTTATTTCGGAAGCCCGGCTCCCCTCGGAGCCCGCGGGGCTGCAGTGTCATCCCAACAGCACCCTGCCTTGTTTTTCCACGTTCAGAGAGCAGAAGGCATCTACAGACCAGCCCGGCGGTAGCTTTCAGTGGATAAGAAACGCACAGGTTTGTGCTAAACCCCAAAGGAACGGCGTCTGCCTCGCTCCCGAGCCGCCTGTCGCAGCGCGGGGCGTTCCGGAGGGATTAGCTGCACCTTCCCTCACGTTCTCAGCCGCGTATGAGCGTCCGGACGCTTTTTCTTTCCCCGTTGCGCCTTTCAAAGCCAAAGGTGACGCGCTGAGCGAGCTGACCCTCGGTTGTTTTGAGGAAACCTTTCAGTCGGTGAAATCCCACGACTCCCGCTCATGGGAGAACGCCGGGGAGTCGAGTTTTCCGGAGGTCCAGAAGCGCGGAGCGCTGCAGAGCGAGACCAGGCAGCTTTTCCCAAACCCCCAGGAACCCTCCGCGTGCCCGCTGCCGCAGCACCTCTTCCAGGTCGTCGCCAGATCTCTCTCCCACGCCCAGGCGCCGGCTCCGTCCCCGTCGGTGGCTCCCGAGGCCAAGCACCTGCCAGCAAACCCTTTCCCGGCGGGATTTCAGCAGCCGCCCCCCTTGGCTCCCTGGTTTCTGGAGTACGAAGGGCCTTCCGCGTACCTCCAAAAGACCGTACCCCAATTCCAGGGCGTTCCGTCAAACGGGGAGAAACGAGGACCGCAGCCGGCACCG